GCGGCTGAACTGGGATAGCTATCAACTGCCTCACAATGACGGGGATCTGAATGGTACTGCAGATGATGCTCATACCCCTCTGGTGATGAATGCGGGATAACGGAAGTCCGTATGGGCATTAAGAAATTGAAAGAGAGGAGGGTTGTTGGACATTCCTGAGGCAGTAAAGACAGCAGAGATAGAAGAACCACGAACGATTTATCTATTAACGTCCCACACCCACTTCTGGGCACCCCCCACATTTGGGCACCCCATTTACACCAAAAACGCCGTTTTTCGAAATTCTATATTAAACTAACTACTATACTTACTAAGAAAAGAAAATATATATAAACTATGTTAAGTATAATTATAGCCATCTAATTTTTTATAAAGGTTTAAATATAATAATAGTTATAATATAGAAGTTTAAAACTAAAAGCTTTAAAATGTTAGTAGATACTAGTAACTTACTAGTATTCCTTAACATTAGAAAAATATATTTTCGCTCATATATACTTATTTAAAAAATCTAGGAAATTAATATTTATACTTATTAAAAGTATATAATTATATCTAAAAGAGATTTAAAAGTATTACTTTAGTAAATATAGTATAATTAAGGGTTAAAATTCTATAATAGAAACTTTTCTTAAGGGAAATTTTAAAATATTATTCTAAGCTTAAAGAATTTTTTACTAAGTATAAGAATATATAAATCTACTATATCTTACTTAAAAATTCTAATCATATTAGTTAAATATCTCTACCTATTTTATATATTAAGATATAGGCTAGGTAAATTAGTATTATAAATGTTAAACCTTGAATTTATAATACTTATTATCAATAATACTAGTATATAGCTACTTAAGTATTATAATTAAGTCTTAATCTATTTAACATATATTTATTCTCTTTAATAAGTAAAGTATTTAGTTTAATATAGAATTTCGAAAAACGGCGTTTTTGGTGTAAATGGGGTGCCCAAATGTGGGGGGTGCCCAGAAGTGGGTGTGGGACGTTATGCAGACAACCGGAAGATTTGAGAGTCCCTATAAGAGGTTTGGCTCGTACCTCATCTACGCGGATTATGTGCTGATATGTTCTCTGCCACTCCATGTCCCCCCCGCGCACAACACATATGACTCGATCGTCCAAGTTCAAAATCTCGACTACCAACACAGAAAAGTTCCTCTAGTCATTAAAGAGCTAACGAGACAGTTAGCTAAGCCTTACATGCGGTAGCTCTATCGTCCCCGGCTCCTGTTGGTATTCTGTATCTTCATATCCAGAGCAAGGTTATTCCTCTAACCCCCTTTCCAACATCAAGTCACTCGATTGACCGCAGAGCTAACTCATCTTTCGTGCTGCCAGCGCCGTCGCCTTCCAAGAGACACATGGTCGAAAGACGTTCACGTTGGCTCTCATGCCTAGAACCCTCCGCAGTGCCGATTAGCTCACTATGGCTTGGCCGAGTGATCCACTTCTGAATTGCCCCCTAATGCCCCCATGTATCTGGCGTTTCAACGTTCTTCGCCGCATTAACACATACTGCGACCGATTTGAGTAGGGGCAAGAGGCTGCGAGGCTGCAAATTATCAGGCAAGTCAGCACAAACTACACCTTAATGTCGCCCTTTATCCGCTGCACTTCTAAAAGCTCCCGCACCACACCCTCGTCATATTCGGTCTTCCGTATGACGGCCTTCCGGATGCCATCATCATCTGCTTGACGCCACCAATCTTGACAACGCCCTCGACGTGACCTCGACGGCCTTCCTCTTGGCTTCTAAGCGTTGCATATCATTCAACACGAAAGCAGCTATTTTCCGCAACTATTAGCCTGGGTTCTCGCGCTCTGGTCGTCTTGAACGAGCTTTTATATCTACTTAACCTTAGGTCCCTTCAACACCTCGTACTCCTTAACCTGCAATCTTCAGCTGGTGCTCATCGGTGGGCTGAATAAGCGTCTCATGACGCTGAAAATGGTAATGTAAATAAGAGTGAATACAAGTAGGAAGGGAGGCTTGACCTGTCGGTTTCGAGGTAAGAAGAGGTACTAACTTCCACAAAGCTTTCAAGTCTGCAGCATGACCAGGTGTTGGTCCCAAATATGTCCCCCCCGTTGCCGCAAACCCGGTGATCATGTCTGCCCCCAATTGTAACCAGTCTGAGCTCATGGCTAACCGAATCGGATATGCTGCGTATGAGTTATCTCTTCAAATCCCTATGAGAATATCTTGGTCCAGAAGACGAGACACTGGGTACGACCTGGCCTGTCGCACATGTCGACATCTCTTGACCTAATAATGTGGCCTCTCTTAGTGTCGAGTATCTGTCTCGCTCGTCATGGTGTCAAGCTGTGCCCTCAAACACATTATCATACACGCTTCCGCAGTCTACCTCTCCAAATGGCCATCCAATCCAAAGCAAGTCCCCTTTCGACAGGAAGAAGAAGCAGAAGAGTGACGGTGTCGATGCCCAATATACCCAAGCACTTCCGCTACCCAAGCGCGACATTAACATCAATAAACACCCAAAATACCATAAAAGAGCGCGTCAGCCTCTCGTCAAATCATAAACCTATTCAAATTGACTTCTGTTACTACGTTAGCCCTTCACAGTTGCCATCTTGCGGACTCCCCGTAGCCGCAATGTCAACGTGTTGTTGGGAGGTGTTCAAAACCCCAAGCCGAACCGCATGTTGCAACTTACTGCAACGGTATCTGGTGCGTCGTCAGGCTATCGAATTGCTACACCCCATGCTCTTTATGTGTGCTCGATAGTTCTCCATGGTTAGTTAGAGGATCTAATTGCTATGCAGCCAAGTTCTCAGGACCGAGCCCTCTGACTACGTATTACTGTGATACTTGATGGTGAAGCATGCCCTCAGCAGACGCTTGCTCTTAGGATTGGCCAGTGATGATAGTGGGACGCCGTGACATGAGAAGATTAGGAGCACGAGTATCAAGTCGGAACGCGTGATTAAGATTTCAGTTGTTCAGCCCAGTGCACACCTCACACTTATTGCTTCTTCGTTCATTCTCATGAACATCCTCTCATGCCTGACTATTGCTACATGCCTGCCGCATGGGTCAGTTAGCGTTTCTGTCATATTCCGATAAGTCACATCTCGGAACGAATGAGCAACGCTGACTTTCTCAAATGCTCCTTGAGGTTTTAATCTGTACTAATATTTGTATTCTGTCACAATATAGAAAGACCTCTCTCAATTTCTCCTCTTGCTTCGGTCATCCTACCCCGATATCAGCTTAGAGAATTCGTCACGTAATGTCAACCGCCAATGCGGCCGAACCTTTGAAACCGTCAGACTAGTTATAAGGATGCAGATCCAAATCCTTTGAGAAGACGACTGGCAGCACTCCGAATGAGACGTTTAGCTCGCCGTGAAAGAATTATTAATTGCACAGACAGAGACATCCACGAGCTAATCAGCCTTAATCTTGTTACTTTCACACAGTTTTCTAGCGGAATCTCTTTTGATTGGTTGATACTATTTTCTCAACCGGTTCCTCAATCTTCCCATTGACTATCCTCCCCCAATTGTCTCATTGTTTCTGCCACCATATTTTGTACTACTTACTCAGTCATACAACTGTGTATTTGCGCAGGTAATGCTGAATGTCACTACCTCGGCATTCAGCTCGTGGGATCCGCGGTCATCTTCAATACGAGTTTACGTCACAGACTTGAAGACCAGCATGTGAAGAGGAAAAGACACTAGGGGGATGGGCAAATTCTCGCCCACCTACCTCATAGATCACCTCATTCTCGTCGAAAGCTTCTAATCCCTACATCCCTACCAACTCCCAATTGTCTTTCAACTAAAATATTACCGCACGCTGAGCTTCAGAGTCAGGCCTTGAACGTTCTCATTGAGAGATTCTGTCACCCTCATAACCAGAAATACAGATATCTCGGGGAAGTGCCACAACATTGCGTCTTTGAATTCCAGAGAGAACGTAAAGGACGGCTCCATTCATGGCAACATGCTACTTACCGTACCTGCGCCCTCTGCTTAATTCTCCGTACTATTGAAAAGTTTCATTCACTGATGATTACCTCGGCACTAGACTGTACAAACTACACTTTCTGTGCTAATGAAACCTTTAACTTGGTGAATAGTGGTGGTTTCTCCGTTTTTCTCAGTCCTTATCACCGAGCTACCATACTGTTCCCATGCACTTCGGCTTCGAAGTCCTCCTTTGTTGGAAGCCTGTGGTTCTTGGCCAGTAAATTTCTAGCACATGAGACTTGATATCAAAAGACCGATCTCATCTCTAGTAGGTCCCCTTATTATCAAACCCCAGCGGGAAACTAGAACTACACAAAATAACCCGCCGTACAGGAAGAATCTATTAAATATTAAGCTAATCCGTGCTCTTCTTATGATTTTTATCGTAGCGGCAGACCGTCATTGAGTTGCGCTTTTCATCCTTGTTCCTCATCTAGTCGTTCGGGATCTCCGTGCTATTGAGGTCTCTCTCTAGCATAAACAAAGCCGGACCAGTGCTTGTTCTCCGAAGTCCCTCTCAGTTGAGGATGACTAGATTTGCTACACTTGAGGAAGACCACGCCAAGGTGAATGACAGCCAGGTAACCGCGATGAGCCACTTATGCCTGGACTAAGGTCTAACACTAAGGTACGACGCAACTTCCTTGCATAAAAACAGAACACTAATAAGCTGTTGAGTAATGGGACCGATTCAACAGTGAGTCGTAAGGCCTCCTGGACGTCTCCAGCTACAACTTCACGCAGATGTCCAAGACATCAAAATATCCACCGTCCTCTCCATAAGTACCGAGGTGCAGAAATCAAGGTACGACGCGAAATCCATCTTCACGTCCTAGAAAACCGTGGGGGAACGTCGTAATTCTCCAGTTCCGAGATCAACTCGGAGAACTCCATCTCAGGCAAGCACATATTCTCAGCCATCTGACCAATCAGCCCCATATCTATGGTAGCCGCTGCATGTTCTCTCTCCCACGGCCCACGGCCTACCGCATCGTCTTCTGCTTGAGCACCACCGGAGCTAGCGATTCCGGTTAGGGTTATCCAGCAGATTCTGAATTCCAAGGGAAATTTGTTTCAATATAATGGCGGGCTTCCAGGTCTCCCCTTCGTTGAGAATCGACAGGCAAACGGTGCCAGAAGGATGTACGTTCGGGTAGAACAGGGGTAGTACGAGTTAACCTGCACAACTTTTATTAGTTTGGTGACTTGGACAGCTGAATCTTTGTCAACTCACACTTGGGAGGTCTTCGTAGGGTACTCTCCTTATCCAGCACGTATGCTATTAGTAAACGCTTGCCACGTGAGGTTATACCGGTGTCTTCACACAAGTCAACATACCTTCCGGGAATGTGATAGTAAGCTTGAACAGGCCGCCCTCCCAGATCGTTCTCTTCTTTCCTAGAATGCCACTCTCCTAAACTGTGATGCTATCAGTGAACGACCAGGCGTGAATGAATATGTTGGGGTTCGGATCCTCTCAGGAGATCACGTTATCGCTTGCGCAGTAGTCAGCCGATATCATCTTCAAGAAGACGTACGTGACCTCCAAGGGCGTAGGTAGAAGGCTCGTCTGGTACTCATTCGCTAAACGTGTACATGTGCTAGCACAACTACAGGAGATCTTGCAGCCTCGTCCTGCTCAGCGATACATGGTCTCTTTTCTTGGCGGCGATCTCGTTTATAACGACTGGCAACTTCGCAACCTTCCTTAGTTGTTTTTTCGTTATCCTTGTTGTTCATGGACTTCCACGTTTTGACCATAATAGTGCTGCTAGGTCTGGATGTCCCAATCCTTAACAGTCACGGTGGTCGTGAAGCTGTAGATGCTCACCAGCGCGCGCTCAGGCATGTCTGACATGAACTCTCCCCAGAACTTGTGGTCCCATCCATCAACACCGTCTTCTTAATGGCCGCGATATAGACCTCATCTGTGTTATCACGCCCGAGAAGCTCTTTGAGATGACACTGGACAACCAGCAATCGCAACACATTCTTGAAAACCTAAATCTTCCTGATCATCGTGTTGAATCGTCTTCACGTCGTCATAAGAGAACCGTTCTCCAGCATCACGAGAAGGCTTGTAGTCATGCAGCTAGTATCGCATATGGCGTCGTCTGCGTTAACGTGAGTCGAGAACCTAACAATACCTGTTTCGTCGGTGGCGTACATCATGAGCTCTGCCACGAACTATAGAGAGTGTTTCTCGTCGGTTGAAGCTTGCAGTCCATCGCGAATTTGTTGACCCTCTTGAAAGAGCGGCGATTGAGCAGGTGGGTGGTCTTATGGGCGAACGTGTAGACGTACGTGCTGTCTGCGAAGATCGAGTGTTTACGCAGCTTCTTCCCGATATTAGCCGAGAGACCCCTGAACATAGTATCAGACTCGTACAGCATCGACTTCACGCTCTTGAAGATCTCGAAGTTGTCACGTATCCTCGTGTACTTCCGCCCGCTGTAAGTCAAGTCATTGTCCGCGGCTGTCCACAAGGACAGCCCTTTTCGTATACACTGTGCTCGCAGAACATGACAAGATGGTGGCGATAGAGCTGGCTGACGTGGTGGACGACAAGCCATGGACAAGGACGAAATCGTTGTTATTAGGGGCGTTTCCAAAAAGCAATAAGACGTCGAATATCGTCTCGATGAGGTACATGATCTGACCTGTAATGACGTTTCAAGGCATCTTGTTGGTGGCACGGGTGTTGGAAGTCGAGTGATTGGTGCCCTGTCTGAAGGTCATCTCGACCGAGGGCAAGTTCTCGGACACCCTCTCAACTGCGGAATGTGTCAGTCATCGAGGGCGTTGCCGTGTAATAGCGCTTCTGCGAGATCTCCGCCATTTTGTGCATGTCGAACTTGATATACCAGCCGCTGTCCTCCGGCTCACGGTGAGATAAGAGTCATAATACTGGCTCTCAATACATGAATCAATGTAACATATCGTTTGCGGCAAGGCAGATTGGATGTGCAGGACGTGCGCCGATAATGAGGGCAGCGTGCTAACCCATCCTGTGGCCACAGGGATGCTTCTCCTGTCTAGATGTAGAATATTGTGACTGACATGGAGAAAAGGAGCCAAGGACTCTCCGAGGCAGACATGTATGCGCCGCATCTGGTGCTTCTTGTCTGCTTGGGGATGGCGTAATGCGTAAGATGACTCCTTAGCCGAAGTACGTGTAAGTGACGGTTCGTCATAACGCCGTCCACTCATGCTGTGTGTGAGTGGTATGTTTAGCGATCTCCCGTTAGTCTTAATCCAACTTCCCAGAGACGCTCTGTTCCACAAACACAGTATTTAGTTACGGCTGTCATCCGAAATTTCTCGTCATACTTGGGTGTAGCGTTTTGCCCTAGCCAGATTGAACAGCTTGCGCAGTGCCCTAACAGTGCAAATAGTCGATATGACTCATTTTAAGCAAATCAACGTGGTCGACGAAGAAGACATTGGGAATTTGGACCATATAAACGCTCCAAAGCGTAATATACAACGTTAGGTCGACGCACATCACTAGGATTAGCTAGCTCTCATCTCCTGGCTGAAATGAACCCGAGAATCTGACTCCTTCTGAGACGAAGCAGCTGAGCAGATTGTGTATTGTCCAAGGCCGTCCGGGGAGCGATATTGGGAATCAAATGGCTAGTGAGACTTTCGGAGAGTCGTTCGCCAGTGGCCTGCTCGCGTTTGTGACAACCATCGTCTTTCTGTGTCGTCAGCTTTGGACAGCGGTCTCGTTATCTGCATCATTGGCTTGGTAACCAAGGTGGGCTTTGACAGGTCCTCCTCAGTCGTTTTGATTGACTTGGAAACGCGCAGCTCAGCTGATACGCGGCGGACAAGGTGCTTGGATTTGAGTTGGGTCGCCTGCCTGCTGCAGGGAATTGTAATTGTGTTTGCGTTGAGGTGGATGTAGCGTCTGTGACTGGCATTTTGATGCCTCTAGCTGACGAAGTCTTAAAACGCGAGCTATTGGTTCATAGTAGGATTATTAGGGGGCTTGGTGGGCGGCTCGAGTAGGACATCATCTGGAGTCGTGCGGGTTGAACCAGTACTGTGAAGAGGTAGAGTTAGCCCTATGTACCAATCGTTACGGAAGGGGTGCTGTCTTTGCTGTTGCTTTGTCTTTGGGAAGGGAGATAATGGTATCTGGTAATGTTCTAGAAGACGGGCTATGATGGCGGGCCATCGGGCGCTCCCACGTGCCCTCACTCTGTCTTGAACTGCGTAGGAAACTCGTTATAACTGTTACTTGTGCCAGCTTGTGGGAAAGATTATCTGGGTCGGCTGGCTCGGGAAGAGAGGCAGCGAGATGTATCGTCACAGAGGGAGGTCCATTTGGTGTTGATGAATGAACGAAGTAGGGCCATAGGCCAGGGACAGCCAGCGGCTCGGATTGGCGGGGGCGTCGGGATAAAGTGAAAAAAAAGTGGGTTACAGCGCAAAGGATGGGGGGTGATACTATTCGCGAGGTAGGGAATTAGGTGCGGCGTAGGACGGGATTTTCCCCCCGTTGTATCTGTTCACTTTCTCTCGACTGGGGGGTGTAGTGGATTTGGGAGGTAAATTGTCACCGAGCAAATTGCGGCTCAAGGTTCATCGTCTGGTCGCAAGACAAATAATGTAAACGAGGGACGGAGGAGGGAATGTGAATCTGTAGTCTCCCTGGAAGTTGTGGATTGTCAGAGACTGCAATTAGTGCCTTTTATTTTCCCTTTCCTTCGTCTCTGTCGTAGTGGGCCGAATAGGAGGGGTCGTACTGAATAAGTTGCCTGTGCTTTAGCGAAATTGGATGGTCGGAGGTGTAGACATCAAGGGTCTTGAGGAGAATGTTGGTGAAGGTTGAGTAAAGGCTGCGGGGAGCTTCGCTTCTTGTGCTCCAGTGAATGCCTGAAGGGCGCTTGACGGCTTCTACTAAGTCGGCTGCAGCTGTGAATACAACTGGAATAATAAATGTGTTGGAGATTCTGACATTTTGCGTGTGCTCTCGTATGGACGGCGTGGGAGATTGATTGCGGTTAATGATGCTGTTGAACGGAGGTTTACTGGGTGGGAAGAGCAGCTACGCGTCTGGCAGCAGGTGACGAAGGCGTCTCTTTCTGTGCTATGGTGCGTAGGGCGCTTTGGCCCCAGCTGCTCAAGGTGAGTGAGGTGGTGCTGGGGTAAGATGGGAGGCCAACTGCTACATAAGGTCGGAATTACGCCATAACTGAGGCCAGTATTGATATGGACAGTTCTGACCTTTGGTACGCTGAAAGCCCAGGCACCAGAACGGAAAGCCCAACTGTAAAGGATGAGAACGTACCCCACCATAGCCCTAAAAAACAGGGGCCCCCCACGGCAGCCTACAAGCAGGACTGACCTTAATTATCCTACCCCATTGAGGCCCAGTTCGCAGGTACATCCTTGTGAGAGGAACCAACCACTAACTTGGGACCAACGATCACATCGAGTGCGGTAAACTAAATGAGACATTTTCTAGCCAACCAAATAACACAATACAGAAATACTTTTCCTTGTCTATAGATTCTTACCATGAGTAAAACACTGGATATTGTATTAGCTACTAAATGAGTACTCCTTGCCGTTAGGAAAGCATTTGGGTTGCTAACGTACTATCATGTATTTCAATCGTGAGTGGAAAAGAATGGGTGAAAGCTTGGGTGCGATGTGCCTGTTGCCTTGCCGTACTCGATGGATTATGATCCAATCCAAGGGTACTTATACTATTAATAAAATTTGACTATTATGAGAACTAAAAAAAGAGTCCTGCAAGAAAAATGTCCTGCAAGAAAAATGTCCTGCAAGAAAAATGTCCTGCAAGAAAAATGTCCTGCAAGAAAAATGTCCTGCAAGAAAAATGTCCTGCAAGAAAAATGTCCTGCAAGAAAAATGTCCTGCAAGAAAAATGTCCTGCAAGAAAAATGTCCTGCAAGAAAAATGTCCTGCAAGAAAAATGTCCTGCAAGAAAAATGTCCTGCAAGAAAAATGTCCTGCAAGAAAAATGTCCTGCAAGAAAAATGTCCTGCAAGAAAAATGTCCTGCAAGAAAAATGTCCTGCAAGAAAAATGTCCTGCAAGAAAAATGTCCTGCAAGAAAAATGTCCTGCAAGAAAAATGTCCTGCAAGAAAATGTCCTGTAGATTATGAGCGGAGTAAGTAGAGTAATCCCTAAATCCACTACTAGTAACCAGCCGACACCCCCTTCAGTATAAGCATCGACACCTCCAGTACAAGCATCGACACCTCCTCCAGTACAAGCATCGACACCTCCTCCAGTACAAGCATCGACACCCCCAGTATCACCTATCCACGTCGACGAATAATCCCATGAATAAGGACGATCTCGACCATTCCATGCTCCTTCAGTTTCTTTACTCCTTCAAAAAATCTTCTTAGTCAGCAAACCCGACTACCATTACAGCCAGTGCAGAGCCTCCAGCCACCTCAGACACCCAACCAATCCAAAGCCCGCCGACAGACCCAAATCCAAGCCATTCTGGTCCAACGAGGGGGTTTCGTCAGCTGGTGAGGTGCAGACATATGTATTCTTCCCCGTCTTCTTCCACGCCCTGTCCACATGTGCATTTCGTCCCAATGGTGGCAGTGCCTGCAGATGGCTCATTCGAAAAAAAGAGACTCGTCTTCAGTTCCTTGGAGCCCTCGTCAGCGAGACTCTGCTCGTGTCTAAGTAACGTTCTCTAGGCCTTTAAAAGTGCGAACCTTCACCAATCAGTCTTTCGAATCCGCCTTAGCATGCCCATAAACTCCATCTTCTGCACTGTCTAAAACGCGACAAGCTCCTCCCCACGATACAAGCATTGCCATCTCAAACTGTCCCTAGACAGAGATAAGTCTCGCGCCACACTCTTGCAGGTAGTGCAAGCCTCGCCATACATCCCCCAGAGCGACCATTGCTCACTGAGCTCCTAGACCTTTGTCTTTCACAAATGAACCAGGTAGCGAGAGGGAGGTAATATCATTCTCCCGCACCATGTTTGCTTGAAATCAGCCAAAACTACGAAGGGTCAGGCCAGAGAGCTATTCGTGAAGTATTTAAAGAAAAGCTGCATCGTGCTGGATGTTTTCATGCTAGCTTTGATTTTATACTTGCCCTGTGAAGAAGCCCCTCCGCTGATAAGCTGCACCAATCCATCTCCAGACGCAAAAGACCGCGAAGCACTGTTAAGCAGGAAAGCAACGTTATGTCTACCCAGCGGTAGAGTTCAACGTCAGACGCATAGATAATTGTTGACTTCCAACTTGACTAATTTAACAAACCTGGTGATGAAAAGCCTGTTTATTATACCTTACAATTGCATTGTCATCAGATTAAATATGTGACAACAGGAGTCAAATCAAGCCTCAGGGCAAGGTGTCAGAAGATGTTTCCTGTTCCAGCCAAATTCGGTCTCGCGTCACAACAAACGCTCCAGCAAAAGCTTCAAAAACTCTGAGCATTGATTATCCTTGTTGTGAGTAAGTGGCTTGATGCAAACAGCACCTCAATCGCTGCAAGAAAGTACGAGCAAGTGAACAGGAATCTACATGCGGATAGGTTACCACGGTAGCTATGGTAGTACGCGCTTGGTAAGGCATCTTGCCAAGAATGACAGCACCATTGATACTCGTCGTGCAGAATATGGTGCCAGTGTGTTATGCACGGCCCGACTTGGTCACCAAGATGCTGTCCAAACCAATTCAAGCTCCTGGTTCACATCTTGCATCCCGGATGGGCACTGCTATTCTTTTGTCGCTTAGGCTTAGCCCATGCAAATTTCAAAGCTTCTAAAGGTTAACACAAAGAAAACTTGCATAATATTCGTGAGCAGTATTCCTAACCTCAGCTGGCGCCACCTCTGGAGTTACCATCTCATCCCAGCCTTCAGACGGCGGAGTCGGCTTGTCTGGCGTTCGTGTCTGACTTCTCAGCTCCAGAAAACAGAGGACTCCTCAAAAATCTACGACTCCGGTACGAGAAGCAACCCATCTATTTCCCTCAACCATTACACAGCGGCTTGCTTTTCTATTGCAGGCTCTTGAACGACTGCTCGAGAGACCGTGATGCCTTATTCAAGACCTCGATAGAAGCCGTACCCCTCAGATGTCAACCCTTAATGAGGTTTTCTGAGCAATTTGAGACAGACAAGAGATGTGATTGGTTTCGTCCTCAGAAAAAGAGCTTGACAGTGCTATCCCCTGAGTCTATGGAGGACCTATAACAATGATGCCGCTCAACCTCAATGCTTGATTCCGCCAGAGCCATACTCGATGCAAGACTAGCCTCAAGGTAATGATGGTAGCCTGCCAGTCTGTTGTCTGCTGCAAACTCTTGGGTACGACAGGTATGGACGAAACTGGCACAGAACGCCCAGAACAAGGTAATCTAGTGATGTGTAGGTGAAGAACTCACTGCCTAACTACATAACGGGTTGTGGAGGCTGGAAAAGTCCCATGGCGAGTGGCTGCTCCCTTGGTGGCAGGCGGCCCGCCAAAGCCCCCTCAGGCTCCTCAGCCAGACAGAAAAAATAATAATAATAATAATAGGAAAAGCAGTGTAATTACAGGCAATACCAATTCCTCCAAGTCTGAATACCGGGTAAACCAGGCCTATAGCAGGCCGTCAATTCCTGCGTAAAAGTGTCCATTCTGGATCGTTCTGTCGCTCTCGCAAGCCTCCTCCCAAGCCCCTTCTCAAGACAGGGTTGATGTGCCCAGAAAGCCAAAGGTAGTGATAGTAGTCTTATGGTCCCAACTGCAGGCGGCAGTGCAGGTGTGGCGGGCAGCCTTCTTGAGCAACCGGCTGCGGCGACGGTGATTTATGGGGATGAGGTCGGGATGGGCAAGGTAGCATCTCGAGGTCTTGTGATAGCCGTCACAGTGGTCGCAGGAAGAGGAAGTCTTGATGGCAGCCAAGTTCATCTTCTGGTCCTCGTCCTGGGCAAGGGTGTAAATAGTGTCGGCAACCTCGCTCCATGTGGGCTTCTCGACGCCCTTCGAGGTGTAATGCTTGTATGTATCAGGAAGCCGGTCTTTGAAGAAGTTTAGCAGCAGAAGTGTGATATAGAAGTCGGGTAGTTGGCCACAGAGGGTCTGGATTAGATTCCGAAGGTAGTGCCAGCGGCTGAGGGCCTCGTGAAGGGTCTTGTAGTCGTTGGCAGTGGTCTTGCCGAACTCGTCAACGAGGGCAGCAGGGGCTTGAGAGACTCGAGGAATGTATTTCTCGAGCGCTTGCCATAGGATGAACGGGTTGCCATCATCTTCCCAGCCGGCACTGAAGAGCCTGTCAATCACCGCTTCGCAGGCAGTAACCAGAAGCTTGTACGTGATGTTACGGTTCCTACCCCATTCCCTTGCCTCAGCAGGGCTGGGAGGGCAGGGGACGTCAGCATCGATATGCATCTCAAGGTCTTGACTGCGGAGGTAGGCAGTAATAATAGTCTTCCACGAGATCCAGTTTGATTCGCCTTTGAGGCGTGGGAGGGCAGTTGAGATGGTTATGAAGTTTTCTCGCGCCATTATAAAGTGAAAGTAAGGGTGTTATCTGAGAGGAGGGATCCGTTCTCATCGAAGTGGCTACCGGCAATGATTGAGACGGTCAACAGCCGTGGCAAAAGGTCGTGGGGTAGGGATGTTGTGAGGGGCTTGGTCCTGTTGCTGTTTTTCTATCGAAATAGAAGAGCGTGGCGCTCAGCAGGCGTGGGCGTAGGTGTCAAAAGTGAAAAGTGGAAAAGTGAAGTGAAATACCGGTGGTTCGGACCTGGCTCCGGTCGCAGCGAATGGTCGCGGTGCAGGTGAAGAACTAACTGCCTAACTAACGGGCTGTGGGCGGTTGCCTCGCGGCCCGCCAACAACATGGCTGCAGCGCCTCTTTAACAGAACTTTTGAAACTGACCTGGATAACCGATGTCTGTAGTGACTGCCAGTTGTCTTCAATGGAGGGATGCCGAGATTGTACGTCTTTGTATCAACCAGTTGTTGTACTGGGAAGGCCAATGTTAGTAACATCCTGCAAAGCGGGGGACTTGGATGCGATCCTACAGTTCATGATTCTGTTCCAGGATTAAACGATCCCGGGTTCAGACACTAGCTAGTGCGAAAAGACAAGATGGGAAAAGTCTTCGCGTCGTAAACACGAATCGAATGGTACAAGTCCATGATCGCAAACTTTTGACGAACAGTGCCGAGGGTCGATGTCCAGTGACTGTTGTTCGCAAAACATGCCAATTTTCAGGCCCACAACCAGCGACATTTGACATTATGGGGCTCTGACCGAAATGTGGCCGGCAGATCATTCTCCTAATCATGTCACCTGTGACACCTTGTACCCTCGTAGGTGCTTTGGTCAGATTTTTGGTCGCAGGCTTGGCTTTCATCTCACGTTTGAGACCATATACGCGCCGGAGATAGGTTCGCGCTTCCCAAAGACACAGGAGGATAATTGAACAAGAAGTTAGCTGCCGCAATCGCTTCAGGAGTATCGTTGGCTGGATTTGTAAAGGTGGCTGTTCGTCGGGTTGGGGCGCTGTCGGCTGATCTAAATCCATACGCATGTTGTGACGAACTAGGCCCATAGTAATGAGGCTAGAAAAGGTGTAAAACAGTGACTTGATCTAGGAAGAGGGTATGTGCGTTAGAAAGTACATACTTATACGTCTCCGGTGTGCGTTTCATGTGGCTTACATAGACAAACATCGCTTGGTGTGTTCGGTGAGCGTTGACACTATCGTCACACATGTTGGAAATTTCAGACTCAATGACATGTGCCATGCTGAATCCGCCGACGAAGGCCTTGCAACTTTTCAGAGTAGCGTCTTGGGAAGCAAGGCCCTCTATGTGTGATGTGACCTCTTCTACAAACTTGTCACCTGTGACACCTGGTACCCTCGTAGGTGCTTTGGTCAGTTCTTTGGCCGCGGGTTTGGCTTTCATCTTTAAAGTTACGGGGCTTTGGCCGAAACATGGCCGGCAGATCTTTCTCTGAAGTTTCCGCAATCGCCGCGCCTCCCTGGTAGAACGTTCAAGCGCCACCAGAACGACATGGTTCGTCGAATACTGTCGTTCTGGTGGCGCTTGGGAAAAGATGTGGCAGCTGAAGGACTCACACTTTCCTCCCAAACCGGAAATAGACGCTTACGTACCGCTTTGCTTTCGTCACGGATTGTGACCTTGATGTTTGTTTTGTCGCCAGACTGTTCTCACCTTTGAAGGACAAGCCGGAATCTCGTCGGTCGTGATGGTGTTGATGCTTGAGACACAGCGTGGATCACTGCGAGGCCGCAGCCGTCTATGGCCACGGCTAAGTTGGTTTCCTCGAGATATAGGGTAATGGAGTTGTAAGTGTTCGTCGTACATGATGACCGAGCTACTTTCCTCTAGCTTGAGTGGCTAGCGTTCTTCGAGGGACCCAAGTCGTCGAGATCCAGGTGGGTAGATTCAAAAGGTCGTGAGGCTGATTTCCAGGCTGAACGGGTCCTTGTAAATTTGGAAAAGATGCCGATCTCTGTGCGAGGGAACGCGAGGTTAGTGTTGAGCTTCTAGACGAGAGGAAGGGCGAAGACATACCGTGGCACTTTTCTCCGAGTCTTTGGATGACTGGGAGCTAGAAGGGAGAACACTTGATAGGCTGCAGGGTGCTGAAGTAGCCTTAGAATCAAATTTTCCCCGTACAAGCTTTGCCAAAGTAAGAAAAGGACGTGATAGGGCTGGCGTCCTGTGCAAAGCCTTCTGGAAGATGTGGGTGGGTCGTCCTTAGCGTTCGCTTGCGGTATCACTGAAGGGCGTGATTCTTTGAAGCAATTGAAGAAAGTGAGGGCGAGCGGGTCGGCATAAGGCAGTCCCTGAACCATAGTAACTGAGGTGCAGCAACGGAAACACGTCGAGAACCCGGGTAGAAGCGATACTGAGTGGAGAGCAGGGGGCCATGGATGGCAGGTGCGGGGGGGTGCGGGCTGGTGCTGTCAGACTGTGAATGCCTGAGACTGCTAACTGTCTTGAGGCGAGAAAGAAGCCGTTCAGCGGGCAAGCACCCTACGAGGCTGTGCTGCAGGGCCAGGCCGGGCTTATTTGAGCAGTCCAGTGTGCTAGATTTCCAAGAAAGGCTGCTGAGCGCTGATGTACGTGTAGCGCAGTCAGTAGCGACTTGAAGATTCTGATGACAGAGTGACCTCAATAGATGTATTTACTACTTATCAAGTTATCCGTTCATCTCAAGACATATCTTTTTGGCTGCGGCCCATTCAATTGCCAAAGCGATATAACGAGGCACTAGGGGGGAAGATGCGAAGGATCATCTATATCCTAATTTCCCAATCGGATTGTATATCAGCGAACTTGAAGAGGGAGAAAGGAGGAAAAAAAGTGAGCGGAACGGGTTTGGCGTAAATCATTTAGCTTATTTTGTGTCTCTGATCTATCTTGTTAAGGAAAAGGAAGGGCTCACTACCAGCCCCGTTTACTGTCTATCGCTTATTAGCTTGATTGAACCTGAAGCCTTGTTGACTTTGTTACATCTTATTATTGTTACCCATCGCGACTTATGTCGAGATCTCGGGTCCGATAGAGAGAAGCCGCTTCTTCACTGACGACGATGGATATACACAGTGCCCTGTGACCGAGAGCTTCTGCAAGCAGTGCGAGCGCTGGCTATTTGGCAACTTTGACACGTACTGCTAGGTCATTCGGCCTGGACTTGGCGGTACTCTAACCTCATCTTCTGTATGACCCTCCTCCCGGCGTATCACTGAGCTCTCTGATGCTCCTTCGGTGAGGCTCCCAATCTCCAGCGTGGCGGCGACCTTGCAAGTTATAGTCACGAGAATAGTTGTGACTTTGAGCCAACCCACAGTTGAGCTTACATAATTTGGGGCCAATAGGAACAAGAAACGTGGTTGAGGTCTAGTTGAGGGCAACTAACAGCTGTAAACTAGGATCAGGACTAGGATCAGGCGTTCACTCGGGTGGAGTGCTTCGACAGGCATTCAAGAGACTAGAGATGCTCGAAGACGACTGGTACAGCGTGGACAGTATTTGGACGGGCGCCAGCGAAGGTTGTGAACTTAGACAGAACCATCGGGTTCTTTGTGGCGCAGTCACGGGGGACGGTTGTAGATCTCAAACGGGTGCATGGACTGGGAACATAAGCCAATTCGTCATTAATTAGTTGTTGGCTACAAGTAGCCCTGGATGTTCTCCCCTAAACTCTATACTGACCCTATTGATGCTGCATATTTGACTGGTGTGCGCTTAATGACGAGTCATCTTGCCGACAGTCAGATCTGCGAGTTTCCCACTGAGCGTTGACGTAGAGGTAGGCGTATATCTAGGCGTGCGCTGACCGCAGTCTCGCGGAATAAGGACATGGCGCCAGACAATCGTACGGAAATGATCGGAGCCGTTGCTGAGGCTGATAAAGGAGATGACATTAGGAAATCCCAAGCTCCCATATTGACCGGGTGGCATGTCGTTAGACATCCTTTGGGAGCCGCAGTGGACGTGGAGGAGCTAAACTACGGATGCCTTATGTCAGCATTGAGCTAATCGATAAGCGGCCGATTTAATGTGTGGGCCAGTCTATGTGCTAACCACTTAGCGTAAGTGCGTTAGCCACCCACACTTTCAACTTGCGAAAAAGGGATGTGGATCAGCGTGCTAACCAGCATCTGGCCCACAACACGGACTAGTCAGCAGTACCAGTCCAAATGGGGCTACTGCACATCAAGTTAGCTTAAGATGATTCATTATACACCCACACCCCCAATTTGTCCTTTTTCTTAAGCCCATCCTTCGCCTACTTACCTGACCTGACCTGACCTGATCTCATCCGACCTAGCTTGTTTGGACCCTCACTTTTCTTAACCTTGCGCATCCCGGGATATCTGCCTTTTCTGTCGCTTGACACGTTGGAGCTCCTGCCAGCTAACACCAACTCTTCATCTCTAGCCAGATACACCCCCCCCTTTCTCTCTCTCTCAACACCTGAATGTTGCAGTAACCATCCGCTTCGTTCTTCGTTGGGCACCAAAATTTCGTTATGCCTCGATTCACAAAAGCAGCGCCGACCAGGGCAGAAAACTTCTACCTCGCCTACGCTTCGAGACCGAGAGTTTACAGGTTGCTTAACTCGATCTGAATTGCGTAGCACACGAACACTGGCGCTCGGCGACGTCCTGGTCTCGACAAAAATTTTCAGCAGATTCTGCTCATCATTATTCTCGAGTCCTCCCAGAGGTCTCAACAATGGCTTGTCTAAATGACGTCTGAGTTTTCGACGTCGTACAGCTGGTGGTGCTGCAGAAGGTTCTTGCTTCCTCATGTCCACATCACCATCCTTTCTTTTCCCAAGTCATCTTCCTTCCCATTAATGCCCTCTACTGACTCATATTTGTTGGTTGTAGTGCGCTGTGCGGAAGACTTCTCGCGGCGTCCGATTTGTTTGCTGCGTGCTTTACAACCGAAACCCAAGACATTTGCCCAAAAGTAAACCCCTCCCGGCCTGTGACGGCATTTCTCAGACGATATAGCCTGCTCATATTATCATTGTTTGTTGTTGATGGATGCCATGGGTTTTCAGGACCGCAGTAGACGCTCTCGCGCCGGCTAGTCTCCTCGCCTCTTTACTGCGGAAGAGCAGTAGTTTCTTCCAGCTCTGCCTTCGTTTTCCTCGTATGAAATAGAGGACCATTATTGCTCGATCCCATATCCAAGCTTCCAAAAGCACCTTTAAGCATACCCTGCAAAAGTACGACCTTCCAAAGTAGCGATCATCCCGACGGCAGCCCTCGCGGGTCAACATGCCTGGCAGCGAATGGCCTTCTGCCGGCACTGATGCACACACAACTCTTATCGACCCCTCGAATGCGCCATGTGTTACATGATGTAACAAGTGCCAACAAAGCTGGGCACACAAGGCAGAGAATATGGAAGATGCCAACGCAAGGGGTTGGTGGGACTTCACTTGGGCCTTCTGCAGCTTCCGGCCTCCCCGCTGCTTTCTTCCCCAGACACAACACACCCACACGACTCATCTTCATGATTTGCTACTAGAGTAACAATCACTCTCTATTGGTTCCGAGGTTCCCCCCGTTCTCTAGAGGCTATATATATGTATACCTTGCCACAAGTCACATTGATAGCCAGCTTGTTACAGCGACCCGCGAAATTCCCCGTCCCATCCCTTCCACGCCTCTGCAACAACTTTCTCAAAATCCACCGCAAGCTGAACGACCTCCTCCTCCCATCGTGCCACATCTGCCTCTGTTGCCCATCTTCCTTTCGCTCTGCCCTCCGCCGCCAACAACTGTGCGGACCTGCCCAGCTCCACCATCTTTGGCACCGCTCCCCGCTGCAGCCTCCCCCGCAACGTACGCAGCTGCTCTGTCGATATCTCTGTGACCCGGCACGCGATACGCGCTGAGGCGCTGTGGGGTGTCACGCTCTCCAGCGCCTCGTGCAGCGTTACCTCCCGCTCGGTGTCATCCCCAATGTAGACCAGCTCCCCACGCAGTGCCTGTTCCTGCTTGCGCAATTTGCGGTCCCACTCGCAGGTGGCCGACATCGGTTTGAACGTCTGTTCGAGCACGTTCGCCGCGAGACTCGATTCGAGCGTCTCCAAGGACCGCAGCCCGCCCTCGAGAACGACTATGAGGCGCAAGACGCGCTCTCGAGCTGTAGCGGCGGGCGTGTTGGAAATGCTCCACCACCGTACCGAACCGGCGGGACGGGTGTGGATGTCTTGGAGAAGGTTCTTGGCGTTGCGCTGCACGCCGGCCAATGAGTTGAAGGCCTTACGGAGGGACGACTCGAAGGAGGCGATGGGGGCGGTCTCGGAGACTGTCAGCGGTGGGAAATCCGTGCCATAAGCTGCCCAGGCGGCCAGCTGGGGGAGAGACTCGCCGTAGCGTGGGAGGGATGGCGCGCGAGAGATCTCTGGCGAAACATTTATGTGGGTTCTCGGCGTGCGTTTGCAGAGGGTGTAGGAGGCGACGAAGAGGAGGAAGGATGTAATAGAGAACGAAGGGGAGTCACTGAGGAGGGAGGTACAGGCTGTTTCGCGCATGAAGACGACACCAAGGGGTACAAGGCAGAAAATAATGATAACGTACAAGACTGTACGTGAGCACAGGTACGGGAACAAGCCGTGGGTCATGAACATCAACGAGGAGGTCGTATTCCACAATGTTTGCAGCCAGGCTGTCTTGTCTTGTACCTGACCGGAATCCTGCTGGCTTCTGGTTTCTTCCGGTGTGGTCCCTGAGCTGGCCTGACTGACATCCCGTTGACGACTCGTCTCTACCGATAGACGACTTGTCTCTACCGATGGACCACTTGTGTTCACCGAAGGACGACTCGCCTCTACTAAGGTAACCTTGGAGCTGTTCAGTCTCTGCTGTTTCATGCGCTGCCGAATCTTGTCCTTTGTGGCGTTATACGAGTTGGAACTTGTCGCCATGCGGAACCGCCTCCTCAGAAACGCCACGTCTCACCGCAATGCGCCCTTAGAACGGCACTCCTGTCCCTAGCGCTACGAAGCGCGGGCTCAAAGACGTTATCGTATACGGTTCTTGTCTCCTCGTCGAGGAGCACGGCAGTGACCAACGCGTTGACGGCTGTGGCGCGGGAGAAGCGGCCAGGCTCCGGAGGAAAGTTCTGGATGAGTCTGTCCTCGATGGCGAGATATACGGCGTGGGCAGGGCAGCGTTTAGGCGGGGCGCAGTCGGCGACGGAGAGGTACTGGTAGAGAGAGGGAGGGTGCGGGGAGGCGGTGAACGAAAGGAGGGCGGCGTAGGCGGTGCAGATTGCGGCCAGGTTGTCGGAGACTGGATGAGTACTTTAGTATGAGAAGTTGTGAGAGCAAAAAAGGATATTGTCTGCTCGAAGAGATGGCTCACCTTTGTAGATTGTTTCTGATCTAATGGGCTTTTCGGTTTTGGTCTCGGCAAAGGACGGAGGAGCTGGCCGGACAGCGCGGCTTATGTTGAAGACGGCGAGGATGGTGATGACAATGGTGGTGGCTCTGGCCCAGATGGGAACCATGACGATGTTACTTTAATAGTGAGAGCGGTCGATGCGGAGGGCAAGGAGGACATATGTTGCGAGAACATATATAGATAAGTGCAACGGCGGGTCGGAGAGAGTCATGATCCATGGGTTTTGACGGGTCGAGCTGGCGATAACAAAGGGGAGGAGGAGCATCAGCTGGAAACAAGGTCCGCGGCCGGACGAAGTGTTTTATCACCACAATACCGTCCTTAAAAGAGCATCCTCAAAAGACTCCATCGACCAGAACCAGCTCGCCGCCTGTCTCGCACGGCGAAATCCGTCTTGCCATGAAAAATGACAGAACTATATCTAGGTTCAAACTCGCACCCACAACTCTCATTCTCTTCAACACCAAATGGCTCACATCCGCCGCTTACTGACCCCAAACACCCCTGTCCGCCTCGCCGACCAGACCGCACATTCAGACCCGGTCTGGCCCACGGCGTCCCCGCGGAGCGCCTTCTGCGTAAACGACATAGTCGCATCAGCAATGGAACCGAAGCCGAAACCTCGCCGCCCCAAGATGATAGATTACAACCACCGCGCACGCCAGCTCCTGCGTTATGCAAACGCGGACCCTCCCCTACCGAATCGTGGCACTATCACGGACGAGCACATACAGCGAGCAAAGTACCTCCAGCCGCAGTTCCAACCCGAGACTGATGTGGATTACGTTGATGAGGAACAGTGGCCTGCGGAGTGGGAAAAAAAGGGCGGCCATTCGCTGAGAGGGTTTGTAAACTGTCAACCATGGAAGAATGAAACAGCGGTCAGTTGTCTGTTCTATTGCCAATGAGCGGAACAAATACTAAGGAACCATCCCAGGATTATCTAGAGGGCGAGAGACATGACGAGAGTCAATTGGACGGGACGCAGGAGGCGGCTGTCGTCACGGGCGACGATCAGCGGAGCGAAGCGCGGGAGGTGACGGGTGTCTCTACCGACAACACTGAGCCTCTATCGCTTAGGGGCCTGGCCGACAAGCTCCCACAAACGACACCCGTAAGCACGAGCCCGGACGACCGTCGTCCTTGGAAAAGGCAAATACCTCCTTCACCCAGGAACTTGTCGGTAGTTTCTTACGCCGCGCCGTCGCCTTGCACCGCGCCTTTGACCAACATCGCATGGACGCCGAGCTCGTTTGGATTGACAATAGGCAATGATACGTGGCCCCAGTTCGGCCAGACGAAAGACACACCTACGCCCTTAGTGATTGACAGACCCAAGTTAGCAGATTTCAGCTTTCGGGATGATGCAGCAAACGGCCGCGGGGATCAAAGCCGCAGCGTTTCTCCCCACGACATAGGACGCAAGAAGTTTACGTCGCAGGATATGGACCGCTTTCGAAACTGGGTATGGCGAGAGGAAAGAAAGAAGGCCAAAAAAGGGGGCGGAAATACCTAGAAGCCGTCATGTGGTCCCATCGCAGTATCAGAAACAAGCTTGGTGCCTCTTTTCTTTTCCGCCTGTTACATCGTGCCGTGGTTCACACTTCCATGCTTTTCTCCCGTAGCGTGAAACGGCTATCATTTCCCAATCTCCCAGCAGCTCGGTTATTCACCCGTCATCTTACCCCCAGCTTGGGCCGCGATCTTGGTGTTACCTCCCGGCGTTACCGTGCCAATGTGTTCGTCCAACACAGAAAACGTTCGTATCACTTCCATACACTGGCTCTAAATGCCTATTGACGGACATGTCACAGCAAGTATGCGGCCGTGCCATTGAAAAGCTCAAAACAGACAACACGCGGCACGTTTGGGGCCCGCGATGTAGACGCGCCATGTTCCAGCATCTGATCCGACACGAAGCCTCCCTCAGTACTTGCACGACTCGGGCGAGGTCGGAGCTTGAGCGTAAAATGTACCTTGTTCGCCCGAACGGGAAGCGTTGGAGTGAAGAATTTGACCGTATCTTGTGGCCGCGGCTTGTTGCCGCGCTCAAGGCAAGGTATCGCAAGCTCGGAGAACACGAGGTCTGGTATGTTGACGAAGATCAGGTTGTCTATGCGGCGTGGAGCAAGGCGTTTTTGCTAGAAGAATGGGATGGCGTGAGCTTCAGCCGGGCCTACGCAGAGAGGTTGTTACGGGGTGCCGAAGCGGGCATTGATTCGCCGCCTGGGGACGACGGTGATGATATAGATAAAGACGGCGAGCACAACGACAGTGAAGAACGACGACCGCAAGACGATGACAATGAGACCGTGAGACCAGAAGACTCGGTGTCGAACATGATACCAGCGACACCGGCGCCGACACCCGGACGACGAGGGCTCGCGCAAAAGGCTCAGCCGACAGTGGTACTGGAGGAGGCTGATGATGATGATGACGCGTTGGAGATGAAGGGGCTCTCGTTCGACAGCATCCGCGGACTGATGTTGTGCGGGGCGGCAAACCTAGTCGACTTTCGTTGGCGAATCAGCTGCCAAGACCACGGCCTCGTGGAAGGTGACAGAGCAGCCAGGAGGGAGACGGAGACACTCCGAGAGCAGTGCCTTGAGGAGTTGCGGCTGCTGGACGCTGCGCTGGACCGCGCGGCGGCTCGAGAGATGGGGATCCGTGATAGAGAGGTAGCGTCGCCGGCTATGGGCCCGATCTGGGGCCAGATGCTGGGAGGCCTGTGGAGGGAATGAGTGAAGCTCCTGGAAGATGACGGGATGGCTGTGTATCGGGTAGGACGAAAGCCTTTGTTATGGGCCCGATGACAGTCAATTTGTCTCGGAGACTGGAATAAGGGGTGTGAGGGGCCCATGTACTTCCAGAAGGTTGTGTGTCTTTAATTGATAAAGGGCATGGCCTGTCTCTTGGATCTGCAAATAGACGTCTGGCTTTCTCCTCATCCTTCGTTGCTCCTACCCCATTCCGAGGTTATCAACCACTTGGGCAAAATCATCATGCCGCAATCACAGCATGACCAGGCGGACTCGTCGTTGGCGGCGGCGCGCTACGTAATTGAACGAGGAGACAAGGCGACGCGCAGCGAGCGATCCTTTCTCAATAGATGGGCCACGAAGCCAAGAAGCAACGAGGAGAAAAGTGCTGGTGCCGGTGGCAACAACGTCAACGCTAACGTCAACGGTGACGATAACAACAACAAGAAAAACATCAACGATGGGGGCGATGGGGACGACTCCTCAGTGCTTAGCTCCCGAATCATGCGTTCCGGCCTCACCCATGTCGGCCAAATCCTGCGTGCTGATCCGGGAAGCCTATCGGAAGATGATCGTCGTCTTTTGTACGCGACAATGAGCGACTCGCGATACCAGAAGGCATGGAAGTCGTCTCCTCGGCGACAAAAGCCACGATCCCAGCTTCTCAGACCACAGCGGCAGCCACAGTTACACCAAGATCAGGACCAGGACGAAGCCTATGACCAGCATCAACAGGGCGAGTTCGCTTCAGTGGAAGAGGTGACTGAAGAGTTGCTTAAAGTCGTCGAACAACAAAAGCAGCATTTGCTAGCGGCTGTTGAGTGCGAGGTTCGCATCAAGGAGCTGTGGTGGTATCGCCATGCGATGGAGGAGAAGGGAAAGGAGAAGGAGAAGGAGAAGGAAGGAGGTGATTGAATTATGCACTAAACATTTATGTATATAGATGGATGGACGGATGTTATGCATGTACAATGCCTAGTGAATTGTGCACCACTAAATGCCCTGCGTTTCTCAAGTATTGTGTACCTGACAACGTTTGTTTGCTTTAGTCACAGGATTTCTTTGTCTGTCCCGTTTGTACTCTATTAATTGTCAACCATAATCAATTCTCAATATGCCCAAATCAGATTGTGACGTTCTCCTAGTCACCTCCCTTGCCTTGACTATACCCACACTCCCTTGAGCTTATCATTGATTCCAAGCGGATTCCAATATCGTTATGCATCCTGCACTCGCCCACACAAAAGGTCATGATGCCTCTCATCGCCCGTAGCCAGACCATCCGCGCATCGTCTCAATCGTCTCAGTCGTCTCAGTCGTCTCAAAGCATTTCGAAACAGCCGCTTCAACGGAGAAACAGCATCAGCAGCAACATCAGCATCAGCACAAACAAAAGTAACAACACTGACGAGGAACCCTCCACTAGGCAGGCTATTCAGATTAACCTCCCGCTTGTGCTGCCTCCGCCCTTCGATCGTCAGCTGCTCTCTCTCTGCTTCCATTCGTCCTGGCGTACTCGCTGCCGCTTGCGCATTCATTTCAGTGACCGCAGCGAGGTTCTTCTCGACGATGGCTCTGAAGATGTCGACTCAGTCAGTGATTCTTCCAGCGATGCTTCCAGCATCGAGTCCGACCCTGAAAATTATCATGCTTCCCTCACAGTCGTTACATATGATCCCATCGCCATCCCCGTTGCCGTCCAATTGCGCACCGTCTCGAGCTGGTTTCTTCGCATCACTATCATTGTCTTCGTTGCTGCCGTTAGCTGCCTCGCCTTCTTCGTCACCTCCATCCGACCCTACTCATCGTACCCTCTATCGCCTTCTCTATCACGTCCCATCACCCTTCGCAACCTTACTGTCGTCATTCAGCCCTACGCACAACTTGTCCGCCTCCTCAGCCAGCCCATCAACCCCATTCCCGCCATCCAGCGCGAATTCTCTGAGCTCTGTATTACTGCCCATGCGCTAGCCGACCTTGAACCCGATCCATGCCATCGCATCGTCGACCTCTTTGATACAGCGAATTACCCCCTCACGAAACTGTTTGTCGGCCTTCGTACACACGGACCCGGGAATCCCGTCTCCGCGCTGCGAGACAACCTCATCCTCATGGCATGGAACATCGAACAGCAGAAGAAGCAGCAGCAACAGCAGCGGGAGCAACCCGAAAGCAACGTAGGTCACGGCGGCACATGGAACAAGACGGCCGAGGGCGTCTTCTCCGCCGTGACATCGCAGGTGCCCAACTGGTGGGAAGATCATAACGCCCTCGCCGTGCCTTTGCAAATAGCTCTGAAGTCTCTGATCGAGGCCCGTAATCTTGAAGGCAGCCTACTGGCAGCATTTGAAACGGCCATTAGCAATACGGACCGAAATGCCTTGTAAGTGTTCAAGAGTGTATTATATTCTCCCTATGTATTAGCCACAGTCCCTGACCCCTGTTTCTACTAGCCCGGCCGAAGACGTGCTCTATGCCCTTGATCGCCTCTTCGATTCTCTTCTCGCCCGCCGTGATACCTTGATCCACACGCTGACGTCTGCAACAGGACTGCTTGACGAAGCGGCAAGCCGGATGCATATTTTCAACACGACACTGTATGCGTGGCGCGGGGTGGCTTTGGCCGGGGGACAGCGATATGTATTCGAAGACTTTGACATGCTGCTGCGAAGTCTTGGGGACGCCGTCGGAGTTTTGGACCACAGCGTCAAAGTGGCCTCGGCGAGACAGAGGAGGCTTGGTATTACATTGGAAGAGGAGGCCGCGCGGGAGGAGATGACACGGAAGCAGGTGGAAGAGAAAAGGCCGCGGAATCGGAGGGCGAGGGAGTGGGAAAGTGAGCATGCGCGCGAGAAGACACAACGCTTCTGGTGGTGACGGAGGATGGGCGTCCCTGTACTCAGTGATGGAAAAGGGCTCGTGTGTGGTTTTGGAGAGATTCCAGATCTTCAAAATGTTCAACCAGCCAGGAAGATGAACACAATTACGTCTTGCTGCACAATATGTCTCGTCATAAATCCAAATCAGCCCCAGAACGCCATCTCCTCCAAAAACATCCGCCCTCTGCGGAATAAGAGTGGTGACGCGGCCTACAGACATTACCGATATCCAGCTTCTAGGTTTTCCCTCATTCTTTCTCTTCCACTCGCTACTCACAATAACTTTTGGTTTCTGCAGTATCCTGATAGTTCCCTTACCAACATGAATGCTCCCACCAAGTATCTAACCAGCGCCGAAGGGTCATAATCCCGATGAACGCCTGCGTCGAGGACAGGGTGCATGGCCAATGTCGCAGGCACACAGAGCTCGTGCGGATAAACACGCCCAGTCACTCGTATTGTGGACGTTATAAAGTCTGGAATGCATGACTACTCATCTATCGGTATTGGAAGGGGAAAGCAGGAGGTTCTCCTCGTCGATGAGTGGCAAAGATGTCTCCTGTGTGAATTAGCAGAAGGATGTAGAGATAGTTCTCAGCATCATGTCGACATATTGATTTCGTGGTAGTCGACAGTTGGTCGAACAACTTGCTTCTTTCTGCACGAGAAGCATTCCTTTTGCTAGTTGTCAGATAAGACGCAGGCTCGAGCAACCTCATGTCTCAGTAGTTGGCTGTTTGCTTGATCCCTTAGAGCTCGCCTCCACAGCACGAACGTGCGACATATCTATTTGCCTAGTCTTGTTCTGGGGAGTGAAGGTGGTAGTCTACTGTTTTCGTGACGTTTGGCGTCTTCTTCAGGGAAGACCATGGCTTTTGAATGAGGAGGATATGGGAATGTGCGCCTTTTGGCGTATTTCAGGACAATATCGTGTGTATCAGGCCACTCTTCCGAGTGTCAACATGTGCTATCGTAAGACCCCTATTCATTCTGGCTTAGAGTTGGAGTTTGATAAGTTCCTTGATAACTTTTTCTCCATCAATACGCAGGGACGAGGCTCTTTATCTGCCCCTCAAGACTGTTGAGCTATCCGAGTACGTCGTTTCCCAATCAATTTGGAGAAGCCACCTCTTCTTGTATGGAAGGGTATAATGTTCTCATTACTGACGAGAAATTACATCTTGGTTAACGGGTAATGGCTAGGCGTCTCAGTCAGACTGCGAGAAGCAGACCTGATCGAGAACTTGGGTCTTGATTTGTGATAGAACATGTTCAAAACAGTAGGCAGGATACCTCAAGAATTAGGGCAGAGCAGGCTTTCGGGCTGTTCGAGATGTAGAGGGTAAAGCCGAAAACCCAGTCCCTTCACAACTGACACTCATCCTTCGAGACTGTTGCTCTCTTCCCACTTGCCCTGCCGTATCTCTGCTTCTCGTTGCATCATACGCCAACTGTAAGTCTCCTGGAAGGGAACCATGGTCTGGATCTCATCCAGTCCCCAACTGCGCGGTAACATCGGTAGTTCAGTATCGATACTAGCCTATAATAGTATTCAGTATGACATAGAATTGAAGTGGGCTTGGCTGTCTTATGACCTCTGGGCGAGATAGCAAATCTAGCTCGCGTGATGCTTGATCAGTCTCGCCGTTTGCAGATTTTAATCTTGTCTGAGCTTTCGCACTGCTGGATAGAATAATGTCGACGCTGTCTAAACGCCTGATAGATGCCTGACTGCATCTCATCTCTTACTTGGGTACTTACTGAAACACTTGGCCAAAGCCTAGAAGCAATCTGCTAGATGGAGCTGGGCAACTCTGCAGCGAAGCAGATGATGCTAACGGTCGATGTCCACCGTCGTAAAACATGAGTTGGCGTGCTGGATATTTCTCATGATCCGAAACACCTTGAAAGCAAGCCACTTCGGAGAAAGGTGGTTTCATAAAATGACGGGCCGGTCAGACAAGAGACAAGGTAACGCAAGGTAACGCAATATCCATTCACCGAGCATCTATCCTAGACAGATAAGCACATTGCCAGCAAACTCATGATCATGGACGGACGATAGGCCGAAGCGATACTGGAACACTTTTGAAGACCATATGAAAGTAAGCAAGCTGTTGTTAGCCGCCTACAGATTCGTTGAAGCTTCTGAAATCCCTAGATACTGAGCAGTCTGTAATAGTCAAAAACATGTTATCGCACACAGACACCAAAAGCCCAGGAAGGGGGAGCCGGGGGAGAAGGGGAACTGTACTGTGCCCCCGGAGATCCATGGTCCTCAAAAGAATCAAATTCACGCCCACTTTTTGAATCTATCTCGATCCCGCCACTGCAGATTCTACACAGACCCGAACAGACCATGATACTTCATCTCCACCTCTGCCTCCACCATGAGCCTCTGTGCCGCGCGCTGACACTCCAGCGCATTCCTGAACGACTCAGTAGGGTGCTGCTCAGGTGTACCCAGCCTGAAAACAGTCTTACTAGCATTACCGACGCCGCTCGATGCCTGGCGTTGCTGCGGGCTACACACAACTGTCGCGGGGGCAGTGATGATAGTGCTGTTTCCAATGATGCTCCGCGCCGGGTGTCGCTCTGAGTTACATAAAATAGTCTCAGGGACGGTAATGATAGTGTCGTTTATCTCGAGGCTTGCCGAAGAGGACGCGTACCCCAGGGAGTCCGCAGACGGCGTAGGCAGGGGATCGACCGGTCCGTCGGCGGTCCACGGGTTGAAGGCCACGTCTTCGAGATTTGCCCACGCGTTGTTGGCCGCGACGCAGAGGGTCTCGACAGTGGGAGTGGGCGTGTCTGACGGAATTAACGCAAAGGGGCTGCCGAGGGTGTGAGCTTTGCGAGAGGTCAACATCATGTCGCGGGGCGGCGGCCAAGGAGAGGAAGACATACATGTTCTCAGGGTTTGACGTGCTCTTATGGTCTTGATGCTGACCCATCTCGAGAGACAGCGTGCTGAAATTGTCGACAAGGGTGCCAGGTTGTTCTGGTCAGACACAGGTGTCAGTTCACTTCCAAATGGTGCTCTTCTGTGGTCTTGCCCTTCTGCCACCAGTCTGTCTTCCCTAGACTCTGGCGCATCCACGCCTCAACAGCATCAATACCGCCGGCTGCCCACGGTTCTGTCTGGGTTTCATCCCACTGCCAGCCAGATCCGCTCCAGCGAACGAGCAGCCCATTGGCGGCACTTGTCACCCATTTGGTCGCGTAGTGCCGCACGAGGTTGTCGAAATGGGGAAGAACAAAGGCCCAGGCCGGGTCTTGATCCAAAATGTGGCACTCGGCGCGGAGGCATGGGATCAAGTCGGAGTAGAAGATGCGGTCAAGGTCGGACGGAAGAATGCGGCGGCAGTAGAGGTGGAAGAGAATAGTAGCACGCGTGCGGACACACCAGCGGAAGCCGCGTTGCTTGTTCGGCTTGGCTGCGTAGTACGAGAGGGCGTCACCGCAGAGTCGCTAGATTCAACAAGGTTAGTCAATGTGCGGAAGACGGGGATTGCAACATACAGCGGAGCTGTTGGTAAGACACATGGTAATTAAAAGGGTGCACGATGGGTTACTATGGTGGAAAGTTGAATTGATGGTGGTGCGCACGACGATGTAGTTAAATCGTACGTCAGGAGGATGTTCACAGACGTATCCAGCTTCTTATCGTCACCGCTAGTTCGAATGTCTCTGAGAAGGCTGAGCGGTGACGAGTGATGATTGTTATCAGTGGGAATGAGATGCTGCTGGCTTCCGTAGTAACAGCCCATCCTGCGGGGAAGCGGCGAACTGGTTTGCGGTGGGATTCCGCTGGCTGGGTAGGCAGCTCGTGAATGTTTGCGTCCGCGTCATCCATATCTGTAAGTATGCACGAGGCCGGTGGGATACGCATCGCATGAACACCTCAGTCTGCAGGAACCGCTCTGCAACTTGCATGTGGAATTCGGTGGGTTATGGATGACCTCCTTGGCTGTTGTTTGTGCTGTCAACCGCATCTGCAACCTGTAGGTAGGCGTGAAGGCAAAGAAGACAAGATGGTAGCCGTTGGGTGGGACATCTAGAGGCTTTCCCCCCAGACTAGGCCAGGCCACAAAAGCTCTTCATAAGATAGACTCATCCGCCTGTGTTCCTCTTCTGCTTCACTTGTGTCTTCATGCTGCAGGCATATTCTGTCCTGAGTCGACGTCTGCCTATGCGGAGCTGTCGGCTCTGGTTTTGTGTAGACTTGACAGCAGAGTTGGTGGCTTTTGCTGTTGGGTCTGTCTGTAAGGGAAACATTGGAGGAGCTGATGGCCTTTGCCGTTGGGTCTTTCTCCGAGGGAGAGAGTACTGAAAGAGTCGATGGCTTATGCTGTTGGGTCTGCGTTGGTGGCCTTTGCTGCTGAACCGGTCCCTGGGGGAGATTTGCTGGCCTTTGCCGGCGAGTCTCTGGTGCTGATGGGAGAGTCGGGGGCCTATGCCCTATGCTCGTGTTTCTGTCTCCGCAGAGGGCACTGATGGCAGGGAAAATGGCTGTTGCTGTCTGCTGCCGTCCAGGTCTCTGTGGAGACCAGTAAGTGCTGCAAATGGAAGCACTGTTAGTCTTTGGCCCTGGCTCTATCTGTTCTCCGATTTCACCCGTCTGTGGCCCTTGCCTACACGAGGGTGTTAACGAGAGCGGTGCTTAGGCAGTAGCTACCTAAGTTTGGTTGCCGGCACCTTGTTTGATCCCTTCTCTGGGGCATATAGGGGAAAGGAGGCTTGGGGCATGCTTACGTAATACAAGAGACGGCTCTGACAGCTGAGAGCGACACTTAACGAAATCGTAGAGCTCCTCCTGCTGGCCCGGCTGCTCAGTCGTCATCATCGTTGTCCAAGTTCAGCTTTGCATTTAAAGCGTCTTCAAAGCCTACTCCAACGGGGCCTAAGTCAGAGATCTCTCAGAAATTCAATGCTGCCCCGCAGCAACACGAAGTCCAGAGATTGTGATTGTGGTCGAGACCGGGAACAGGCCGCGACGGTAATAGGGAGAAGGACAAGGAGAAAAAGAAGACCATGGAAAGGGAAGTCCAACAGCACCAACAAGCAAAGAAAAGATCAATTGCCAAAAGTGGCGTGTTTCTGCGACGTTCTTGTGGGGGGAAAAGCGGCACGAAACGCTCAGAATATGGCAGTGAAGTGATGTGTCTGTGGAAGGAGCCAACTGCAGGACTGTGGAGGCTGGCTAAGACCAGTGGTGGCAGTCGGCAACCTACGTGACAGGCTGGCCAGGCCCTACTACTCAGTACTTGATGCGCTTGACCCTCAGGGTCCTCATAGCCCGCCAGATGTCACCACCTGTCCGTACTGACCGCCACAGGCATCCCCGTAACCCACACCAAAGACCCAGCGGCCACATAGCGTTTGGCACTACGCCTTAGCTCATGGGACGGACCGAGCCGGTCAGCCAACCTTCATGATTCATAAGCCAAATGCGAGAATAGCGTTCGTGAGAGCAGCGAGGATGGACGACTAGGGTCGGAATTTCAGGTCAGAATCTTAGGTCAGAATTTTAGGCCAGAATTTTGGATCAGGAGTTTGGGTCAGAGATTTGGGTCAGAATTTTTGGGTTGGAAATTCTGACCAGACTTGGACGTCGTGATAAACGACATGGTGCGTAGAAGCAAGGCACTCAATCTTGTCGCGTCGGGATATTGACGTTACCCCCATGACAGATAAGGCATGGATGAGTCCGGGTACCCTATAGTCAGGTCGTTGATCTGTTTCAAGGTCGTCCTTGGCTTTTTTCGCCGGCCTTCGCGCGAACCCAGCCATCAGCAAGCAGATCCACTATCCGAGGCATTCTTAGACCTAAGTCTATTATAATCTCTCGTGCAGACTTGGAAGATGTAGGCGAAGGGGTTATGATTGTCGGGCTACTAATGCTCAGGTGGAACGGTGGTGTTGTGTTTGTTACCTGCGCAGGGGAGGTCGGTGTGGTGTGTTGGTTTGAGGCATCGTATGGAGACGTGAGCCCAAGGTATTACTACTGCATACTGCACCAATGTTCGTCCGAGTTCTTATCCAAGTATACATCCTACCTCCCGTCGTCGTCTGGTCTTTGGTAAGCCAGCCTTGAATTATTATGAATGAAGTGTTCAAATGAGACTTGTCTTGACCAAAACGTGCTATTGGAAGTCGTCATGGTGCCGCATTTTGCTCATAGATTGAAACTTGCCTTGGCGCCCCTTTTGTCTCGATAGTGGGAAACCCTTTTCAACTCGAGCAAGATGAAGCGGGCGGCGATACTCGACACAACGGGGTAGCCTGTGGTGCAATTTGGTGCAATATGGTGCAATTTTCCCGCAGCTGTTCCGCATCTAGACTCCCTTCTAACTTTGAAGGAGAGGCCTCATCCTGATCAATACACTGACGGCAAGTCTTAGGCGGCTGAGCTATGGCAGTGACTATGGTTCTTGTTCCGAGATGCATATCTCATCAGACAAGGGCGCAACTCATAGCCAGCGTCTTTTACTCCTCATTGCAGTTCTAGTCACCTTTCAGCATAATAATCCTAGCACTGTTAAAATGAGGCACATTGACACCCCCTGCTGCATATGTATGATCTAGTGAGGCTTCTCTAAGCCCACTCTTAATGCGTTTCATTGTAGTCTGGCCAGGTCTGTTGCTGCAGGAGCGGTAAAAACTCGATAGGAGAGTCACAAGGGACAGAGTGTGTTAGAGGATTTGTGGGACGGAGTGAAGGGGTCAGGGGATAGGGGTTCTAGGGGTAACTGCGTTAGTCTCTGGCCTCTCAACCCTGATTGAGAGACTCCCTTCATAGCTCTGATTGACCTCTAGTGAGGCAGCGGTTCTCTCTTCCGTTGTCTCCTCCTAATATCCCCTTATTTTTCCAATCTCCACATACCGTAGACTTCTAAGACCACCACGCTTCTAGTCTCCCGTTTTCTCTTCGTAGAGCTGAAGTGAAAAATGTTACCGTTAATCGTGAACTCTCCGTTGTGGCTGTCAGAAGGGGTATCGGTTGGCTGAACACGCTGGCCTTCAGGGGGTTCTTCCGTGCGGGTGCCCGGAGGCAGGCACATGGCGTGCGGATTAGTGGGATTTCCGGTAGTAGTATGAAGGGAGCGATTAATTCCGGAGGAAGCTAGCAGGCGTCTGTCGGTGAGCACCTCGTCTGGAGTCTTATTGTTGTTGCAGCCGAGAAGGTTGCCGCCATCTTCTCGTGGGCGTGCGATGTTTGCGTGATGTGAAGAAGTTGGAAGACCATCGCTGAGCAAGTCTCTTCTTCTATGGTATTTTCAGTGCTTATTAGACGCTCTCCTGGCAGGTGGGCTGGATCCAGTATGGTTTCTCTTCTTGAGGTCGTCAGCGCTCAGGCTACTCGAACAATTCGTCCAGCTGGCAGATTGGGGAGGGATAGACATTACTTCTGCTGGAATCTATAGATCCCAGATGCCTGTCTTTCCACTCTCGTTAGCAGGACGTCCTTACATCAGCCTTGGTTCGGGATAGCCTAGCTTACTGGTGATATCGTCACTTCTGATTGACGTTGCTGATCTCCGGTTTGTTCGTTGCAGAGTGGTAACTATGAAGTTAAGGATCACTGGAGGTTTCACAGGCTTGAAAAGGGTACCTTACTGGTAAAGACCGTAAAACAGTAAATTCCTAATGAGTGTGATGTGCTGCATGAAGTAAAGTGGTTGTGGGCTAGCAGTGAAACTGGAAAGTATGGACTTCCAGACTGTCACGTGTGGGAAAGAAGCGGTGGCTCCTCTATATTCAACGTGCTGGGCGTCTGGCCGTGTGACCGCCCGGCCGGCCACTTGACCCAACAAGAAGAAGTGACAGTCCGCAAAGCAGCGAGGCAAACCGAAATCAACAGACAATGATTGGCAGTTTGGTAGCCTCACCTCAATGACCTGCACTGAGATTAGTTGGAATAATAGCATCAATAGTGCCCAAAAGTAGCTGACAATGTCAAAGTAGACAGACTGTCTCTAATAGAGGCTGCTGAGACCTAAGAAGTAAATGAGGAAGACCCCGAACGGTTTGAACGCGATTTGAATGACTCCCCGCTTGCATTAGTAAAATGCAATCCCTCAAAGCAGCTACCGAGAATACTAGCAACAACGGCACTTCCTTGATTATCATTGCTCATAAATTTGATGTAAGTAAGAAAACACTTTTGCGCTGGTATCTAATACTATTACTCAGGGAAGGTGAGCTCCAGGACGATGAAAAATTTCGAGTTTTGGTGCGGTGTGTCGATCAGATGGTGTTTGCCCTCGTGGAGGCAATCAAAGACTTGCTGCTTGGTAACTAATTATTGAACCATACTTGGACAGCATCCCGACCCTACCTAGGAGAGGCGTACGAGAGAAAAATTGATAGCAATAGACACTGTTAACAGTTGGCGGCTGAAAGTAATGGTGGAAAGTTAATTGTCCCACGAGACAGCTAAGAATTTTGATCTCAATTACGCCTCTGCAATACAGTATTAATAACTAAACCCACTGAGAGGGTTGTGAAGCGTCGAAATTCGGACGTACGGCGTCATGACTAAT